GTGAGTGGTTTGTTTTCTGTGCACTGAAGGTACCATGTCTTTTGGGGGAGGGTAGGGGAGAGAAGCTTTCCCACTGCTTTTCCTGACCAAAATTTCGTTCTCTCTTTCCCAGCTGCCCTGCAGTACTCCTGTCTAGTGGCTGCTGCCCTTTCACCAAGAACTAGTTACATTTCAGTGATGCTGTCTAAAATAATCTGGAATACTTTCAGGATATGATGTGCAAGAAGGAAATAAATGATTATTGAAATAATAGAGAGGTATCTTAAAAGTAATTGATTGGACTCCGTATAATCTCTAAGAGAAATGGAGTGTTACGAAGTGCATGCCTGCCCAACCACCCTTGCCTCAGCAGGCATGGTTGCATTTAACTGGCGAGTGGTCTTGGGAAAGTTTCTTTCTCTCTGGTTTCTAATAGTTTAAAAGAGCTCCTTGCAAGTGAGTTGTGAGTTGCGGTGCACAAATACTTCTAGGAGTTTAGAGATGAATTTTTCTGCAGGTTGGTTCTGTGGTAACGGTGAAATTCTTCAGTGGCACCAAGCTGGTCTCAGCGGTCATTCAAGGTGCTGAGGCCAAAACCGTGGTGCGTCTGTTGCTGGGAATCCAGCCCTGTCATGAAATGATTCATCCACAGACATTTTCTTATCTCAGTTGACAGCTATTTTTAAGAGCAGCCATCTGGCCTAGAAGGTTGATATCTAAGCAGAGGCAGCCTAGAGAGCTAAAAATTTCTTTCCCACCAAACTTAATCTTATTTTTGCCAGACATCTAATATGTACACTAATCATTTGATTTGGCTTGATTTTAATTAATTCTTGCTAAATGTCTGGTGCTAATTGTTCATTCTAAAGGCATTGTGGTATTTTGGAGCTACTGTCAGGAAGTCAGCAATTTTTTTCACAAACCAAGAGGATAAGTTTGAAGTAAATGTCAGTTTGAAGCAATTTCTCATACTAGTGGGTAATGATACCTAAATGATAGGATAACTTTTGAAATGAGTGGGATTCTCTAGGTATGTAAGTCTGCAGAAGGGGTCTCAGAATGAAATAATGGCATATTTGTCCAGTATACTTTTAATTTTTTTCTGTGTGTGTCCTGGGTTTGAGTGGGTGGTGGGGTTTTTTGGTAGCAGGGGAGGGGGCTATAGGGGTGACCCCCTGGAATAAGCTTCTCGAAGCTCCATAAAGGGTGATTTTTCCCCATGCCAGTCCTATCTCGAACCCCAAGCCTGGCTCTCTGTCCCTTCTTATTGTCAAAAGAGAAGGGGGAGAGAGCGGCTGTGTGGTGTTTGGCTGCCGACCAGGCTCAACCCACGACAGTGTGCTGCTCAGGAAGAACATTGCAGTGAAGGAAAGCTGTCGACCTTTTTTTTCATTGTGCTCTCTGAACCTCGTATTTGAAAGAGAAATGTAAGCTCTTTATTTTAAAGAGGAGTTTTATTTGCTTACTTGTGAGACTCACTGTTGCTGTTACTCAGCTGACAGGGGGGCTGCAGTAGAAAGAGTGCTTGCAGCTGAGTAAGAGTGTTCACAGCATTATAGTGTGTTCTGTGATTCATGCTGGCAAAACGCCTCTGTGTTCATTATCTCTGTTTATTTAATATATGCATTTCAGTAGCATAAGCCTTCATTGAGCCTATTTGGAATGTGTTAAATGTAGATGCATTTTACTGTTTGGTTAAGCAGTGGAAATGTGCAGCTACCCATATCACCAATCATTATCACTCAGCATAGTAATGGTTAATCTTCCTGATTAAGATTATTTTGGTCATAAGAGACAAGAGAATGAAAAGGAAACATTTTATTGATGTACTGCGTTTGTGTTGTTCACATCTGCCTTTCTCTTCTTTAAAATCCTACTGCAGACAGCACTCTGGCCTTTCAAACTGTGTTTGGCGTATCTTGCTCTACATCAAATTTTTCTTTCAGGTAGGAGACAGAGATTAATGAGAATCTAAATTTAATTTCTCTTCTTATTGCCAGTGGAGAGCTTTGCTAGGTTTGAAGTAAGTTTTCTTTGTGCCAAATGGTTGACTTTTCTAGGATAAACCCCCTTTAGGGCATGTAAAAAGTCCTCTGATTAAAATATTGGCATTCCCAGACCCCACTAAAACTTGGGCAGGCTGCCAGACCCCACTTAATGAGGATGCCCAGTGTCTGCCATGACAATGGCAGTCAGTGATTATCAGTGTTTGTTGACTCTATCTTTACACAGACGTTAGGAGGAGCAATCCCCTGTGTGTCTGGCGCTGTAATAAAGAATGCCTGCTTACTAAAACCCCAAAATTGAGTCTTAGAGAGTGAATTAATTACCACTTTTTGGTACAGGCTACTGTGCTTTGTTTTTCACTTTCAGCATCCAGTACTTGCAAGCATCTTCCAACAGTATTCTATTCTTTAAACACAACTTCCACTCTTCCTGATTTCAGAGAGTGTTAGAAGGAGAGTGTGCGATTCTTTTGTAATGACTTCTTTATGTTGTGTAGCTGAGCCTATTATTCTGTTTTTTCGTACGTGTAACCTACTTGTTCTCCATTTCATAGAGGGAAAGGGGCGGGCAGTCTGTGACTGAGCTATGAATCAATCTCTTTTAACAACCTCCTTCTTCCTCTAGACTTTCATGAAATTTTTCCTGTGTGTTAATTAAGAGTGATCCATTCTTACCTTGGACTTGTCAGCACCTTTAAACATTCCATTAGGTGTTAATGACACATGAAGCAAGAATTAATATGAATTTGTTAGTCCTGTATCTGGTAGGGATGCTCTATATGTAATTGCCTAAATGTATCAGTGTTTCCTAAACTACTGGACTTAAATGGTATTGCTTCATTTTCTGCTTTTGCTTAACCATTAGTTATTGAGTCAAATGATGCTAATTCGTAGAGCATATTTTGGCCTGTATTGTACAGTATTTCAGCTGGACATTTGCCATGGTCTGCTTGGGATTTTCGTAAGACAGAAGTGAGTTGCCTGAGTTCTGCCCTGTTGGTCGGTGTTGAGGAGAGTAGCAGAGGTGTGGGAGAGAAGTTGTGAGGAATGCTTATAAATAACCTGACTGAACCTCCATGGCTGTTGAACTGGTACCTTCTGCGAAATACCAGATCGGTGTGTGTTCTTCTCTTATCGTTTCACCTTAGTGGATGACTGGTTTTGTTGGTCTTGCTTACCTAGTGTTAAGCAAAATGAAATTGAACATTTGTGAAAACATGTGCAGATAAGGTACAATACTCCTAAATTAAAGATTGCACTCGGTCATATAAAAGCTAGAGGTGAACAGACTAATCGCCTCAGTTGGCCAATGCAGTTCAAGAGTAGATGTTTTCTTTTACGGAAGGTTTGTGTTGGCTATAATTCCTCACCAAACCTGTATGGGTAGTGGAAGTGGAGTGGAAGGGGGTTCTGTGAATATTTTCAACAGGGATGTTTTCTGTGTTTGTGACCCTTTACCATTGCTCATACTGTTTTAATAACCTTCCTAGCAGGTTTTTAGAAACAGCACATTTGAGATTAACTTTTTGCAAGTACCCAGTTTTCACTTCACATGTTTTCAGTGATGAGCTATCCTTATTGAATTGGGAAGCCTAACGTGTGATCCACCTGTCCTATCAAAGCAGCTTGCACAATAGTACTGGTTTGGTGCCTGCTTTCACATAGCTTATAGTAACAGAAAATTTTTTAGAAAGCTACCATTGTTGATGAACAGAAATACTGCCAATGTTTGTCAAATGTGTGTTTTATCTGACCTGTTCTACTTAGCATCTTATGGCAAAGCTTTCTCATCAAAACATCTGACAAATATCTTTATTCTTACAGTGTCTTATTAGATTGATAACGCCGGTGGTCTCACTTTTTAATGTAGTGATTTAATGTACTGAGGATTAGGGAGCTAAACATCTCTTCAGTTGCAAGAGGAGGTCATCTGCAGTAGGTACAGAGGTGAGGATTCAAACTCACAGCTGTAGATGAAAACCACTGCTCTGTTCTAATGATCTTAACAGCCTTTTGATGAAAATGAGTCCCTCCCCGGGGCTGCAGCCCTTCCCGAGCTGCTCCGGCATGGGACACCCCCGCACGCTGCAATCCTCCCAGCGCCGAATCGCAGCAGCGGGGGCTGCTTCTTCCGGCAGGGTCCCGGGTGCCTTCGGGCGCAGCCGCCTGAATTGGGCATGTGGGGCCCCTCACAGGCCATAAATCAGTGTCTGCTCCACTGTAGATCTCCATGGGTGGCAGGGGGGGCCGCCCTGCCGTCTCCCCACAGGATACAGGGGGGTCTCTGCTCCGGCACACCTCCCCCCTCCTTTCTCCCTCCGTTCCTCCACTGACCTCGGTGTTCACGCAAATGTCACAACTCTTCCTTGCAAGTCCAACTCCTCCTCCCAGGTCCTGTCTTAACTATGTTGTCACGGAGGAGCAGGTAATTGGCTCAGTTTTGGTGCAGAGGTGGAGCTGACTTGGAGCTGGGGGAGCTTTGAGAAGCTTCTCCCAGGGGGCCACAGCTGTATCCCCCTCCCCTGCTACCAAAAACCCCACCACTCACTCAAACCCAGGATGGTGCTGAAACTGTCAGTCCTCTAAAGAGTAAAACTAGGAAAAAAATCTGTTTGATTTGGTGGTTGTAAAAGTGAAGCCTGCAGTTGGTAGGAAATGAGGAGATTTTGGCTGTTTGTCTGCTTTGAGACAAATTAATAATACTGGGGAATACCTTGCAGCCCAGAAGCTGGCTAGTTCCAGTCTGAGCTGTTTCCTTAGGCTTTCATGGATGCCGATTAATTAGTATGTCTCTTCCTGTTTCTTTTCAGCCTGGAGTTCAGCTGAATGAGTACCTCAGGAGAACCAAAGCCTCTGTTGCCAAAAGGCTTTAATTTGCCCTCTGTTTGGTCAGCCCTGACCAGAGGTTTGCACGTTGCACTTTCCTATGTCTTGCATCTGAAGATTTACATAAAGGAAAGAATACCCTGAAGCTTTTGCATTCTAATGGGTGAAAATGAACCGCGAAGCATATATCCTTGAGGGTTCTGAGAAAGAAGGGAGACAGTTGTAATCTTTTTTCTGGTTTTGCCCAGCTGAACTTGTCTCCCAGAGGAACAGCTGTATTGCAGAGAAGAGAAGCTGTCCCATTGAAGTAGCTGCAGATGCAGCGTACGTAGCTGGAAATCCCATTGCACCTACACCCTTTCGTAAGTGATCCCTCCAAAACTGAGGCTTCTCCTGGACGTTCCTGGTGAGGCCCATCGTGTGACGGAGATAGAGATTATATTGCTCTAAAGAAGAAAAGGATACCCTTGTCTCTTTACTTATAAACATTTTATTTTACAAAATGATTCAAGGATTGTTGCATTCTACCTGTAAGAAAAACCTTCTGAACTACCCATTGGTCAAGAAGATAAAAGGTGCACTAAAAGCTATGAGTGAAAACTTGGGAGCAACTCTGATTTTAAGACATTGAAATTATTGTATGGTTGAAGATACTGAAAGCACAGTTGTTCCTCTAGAAAATGAAGAGATAAATGAGTTGCGATATATTAGCTGTTGCACATTTAGCTGATGCTTCCAAGATGTTGGCATACTTATTAAGTTTATGGCCACGGCAAGTAGACTGCAGATAAACTTTAGCAGCTTCAGCATCTCCCCAAGTCATGAATTTACAGAATTCCTGATGTATTCCCAGGGTCAGTGAGTTGAATTGGTTTTGAGATTGGAAAGTTTTGTCACAGAGTTATAATAGTCTCAAAGATCTAACTTGCTTGCTTTAAGTGGTATAGTAGATATTGGAGCCAAGAGAAAATACGTAATAAGTCATCTTTGTGATATTGTGAGCTTTGAGTCTTGTTTGAGTGAAGGAGAAGAGCAAAATTCTAACTGGGTGCTAAGGATAGTCTCATTTCACAGTGTAAAAATGTCAAAAGAATGTTTGTTTCTGTTTCTGACCGTGGTGTGTAAAATACACCATAGTCACCTTGTGTACTTGAGATGTTCTCAGATGTCCCTGACACCTACCGAAACCAAATGCTGTATTCAATTGGTTCTGTTATCTCCCATGTATTTCTGCTAGTTCTCCAGTTATTCCTGTAGGGAGACTTCTCTCCCTCTCTCTCTCTCTCTCTCTTTCTTTTTTAATATTTTTTTGGTAGTCCTCTAGGATACAGATATTTCAGAGACGTCATGCATCCGTAATGTCTAAATGGCTCCTTCTTCTTTCCTTTCCCCTTCCACCACAATCAAGAAATTCCAGACAGAAGCTCTTTGGTGTCAGTAACAGCTGCACAGCAGATAATTTTTTGCATCCTCAGAGGTGTCATAGTTGTAACTCCACATATGCAGTTGTGATACACATGTATATTAAGCATCTTCCCGTCTTTAAGTTTCCTCAAGGCTCTTCTGATCATTCTTGATTCAGCATTTTCCTCTATGTTCTGCTCCTGGTTAGAAGTAGCTCCTTTCAACAGAAAGAAGTTGAGATAATCTGTTGTAAACTTGATTTTTAGGAAATTTTAATATTTTGCAGTCCTGTGTTGTGATTCAAAAATTGTGCCCCCTTCTTTCATCTCTGGGGTTTATAATAAGGTGTCAGCAACGATCTAGTGCATCTGGGAGCTTGCATCAATGCCTGAGAGAGCCATATGTGTCTGCTTCAAACAAGGCTATAGAAAAGTGTTCCACTAGGCAACTCAGGTGTCATCCACCTTCTGGGCAACCCTGCAGCTAGTTAGCTTAATGGTGTATTCCTCTGACTTGTCGTTTCTGTGAAGCAGACTCCAGTTTTCCTCTCTGTTCAAATTAACACCAAAATCTCTGTGCTCTGGTCAAAAAAACATGCCGATTCTGGAGACTGTCAGGAAGTTTGTGGCTTGATGGGTTTGATCTATTTATGTACTTCAGGATGTTGCACTCCCAAATTCTGCGTGAGCACATTGTTAGGAGATTGCTCCAGCCTTCTTGTGTGGGGAGCCCGTGCAGGGCAGGAGCGTGGGCAGAGGGAGCCACAGATGAGATGCAAGACCTGAGTGACCTTAGGTGCATGTAGAAATCCAGTCATGCTGCTGCTACTTTAAGGTATTATTTGAGCACACGGAGCTGTGTGAGGATTGCCTCCCGCAGCAGTCAGAGCTGGGATTGTCATAGTAAACATTTGACCCAGCTACATAGAGTAAACCAGGTGACCATTTCACTCGGTGGCTTTAACGGAAACGCTTATTCAAGATGAAGGGGTTCACAGTCTTCAACATCCCCATTCTAGCTGTGATATTCTCGGATGGCCCTGCAAAGTCAGAGTTCCAGGAGTGGTGATGGAAATGTACTGTGTGACAAGAAGCCCTGTAAACTTCAGATATTGCTCATTCTTAGTGTGGTAAAAGAGAGCCCATTGGGACCGACTGCCATCGCTATTTTCTTGTCCCATCCACTCTAGCATTTCTTTTTAGTCCACAGAGGCTGAGTCACTGTTGCAAATTCTGGGGTGATGTGATTTCTAACCTGTCTGTGAGTCAGAGTTGAGTTGAGAAGGGGGCAAAACAACAGGAGAAATGCAAATCTAGATGAAAAGAATGTTTTATGTTAATGGCACTTCTATTCATGTGTTGAGGCAATCTGGTGGCTTAATGTGTAAAAATGCATATGCGCATTCAGACCACTATACAGTCAGGTCCATCAGTAGATCTTCATTTCTGTCTTGCAAGGGAGTTTTCCTGCAGCATCCCATTGATTTCAGTGTGCATAGAGACCATTGCAGCTTTTTCTGAATTCAGCTGCTTGCATGGTTGGAACCAACACAGTGCCATCTCCTGAGTCTGGTAAATTTTACCTGACAGCCATTGTTTAAGAAGTAGTGGACATGGATAAAAATACTTCGTGAACTTGAAGAGAAAATGGGTAGTCTCTGCAGGTCCTAAATAGGGCTACGAAATCGATCCTAAATAAGAAACAGAGAAGAAATTGCTTCTTGGCTGTACACTTGAGGCCTCTCTTCCGACAGGTGTAAAACATTGTTTTGTGGGCACAGTAGCAGCTCTGAGCTGAAAAAGTAGGTGAGAGTGAAATCAGGACAATTCCATGGAAGAGAGTAGAGTTGTGGAGGCAAAACGGGGATTGAAGAGGTGAACTGTACTCCCTCTAGCTTCATCTTCAAATGATACAAAGGGATTTGTAGAATAATTCAGGTCAGAAGGGACCTTCTGGAGTTCATCTAGTCCAGCCTGCAGTAATAGGACTGAGGCTTTTCTAAAGAAATACTCTTGAATCTAGAAATTTGTTATTTAGATCTTAAAACTTGATATTTTTTTCATATATTTTGAATTGCTTGTGTTTGGGCAGAAGTGCAGCAAAGGTCAAGTGGAGAAAAGTAAAGTATGAAAAACACCCTTAATTCTCTGAGTAAGTGCCAAAAAAAGAGCAAAGTTGACCTGAACTCTTGTTGCAGGTGGGAGGGAGTTACCATCCCATGAGTAGCTGGAAGCTGTTGCATGTGTTTAAAGTAACCAATGCTGTTTTGTTTCCCTGAAATATTCCCTTCTAAGTGTTGTTGATGTAATTAGTAAAGAATCTTGCCTTTTACTTTCTGAGAAGGGAAACAGCTGACCGTTCTTCACTCACATGAACGTACGTATTTTTATTTGTATTCCATTTGCCACGTGGCTGCTATCCACTGTTAGATAAAACAGTCAGAGAAACTGTTCCACATCACCTGGTAAAACATAAAGGTTCTCTCAGAGGTAACTGATGGGTCAGAGTAACATTGAGTAAGCTTTTTTGTGAGAAAGGGATTTTACATCTTGCTGGAAAGCTTACTGTATCAAAACTTGATTGTTTTAAAACAGAATGAAAAAAGCATTTTTGCCCTTTTCCACAAAAACTACATTTATATTGGACCAGTGTGTTCTCCTGTAGTCTTGTGTGATACCATGCAAAATAAAAGGAAAAATAATTCAGAATGAAAAGTCATAACATTATGGAATACTGTAAAATTTCTACCTTATAAAATGCCTCTTTCATTTTTTATTTCATAATTCATGTCATCAGAAGAACATTTTACAATAAATCTTTCTGGTTTGATACGTTGTTTTTTTTCTGATGGAAAACAGATCCACAGGGGCATTTCTGACAAGAACTGAAAACGTCTTGTTTGGGAGCGTTGTTCTGTATTATTTAGTTATGTTTATTTGTTTTGTATTTGTTTGGTTGTTTTTTTTAGTTCCTTTACTTTGCATTTCCACTGCAAATCTGAATTTGCTCAGGGAGATTGCTAAAACTCTGTTGTTCTGATGCTTCATTCTCTTCTGTTCCTTCATTCTCTTCATACTGGTTTTGCCATGTAAGAGTATATATTACTGTAGAGGAGATAGGGTCTCTTCGAGGTTGGTCTCAGATGTTGAATATGGCTTGTCTGACTCGATAGCTAGCAATATTAGTATTTTCTTAATTTCTTACATGTACAGATACTACGCAAGATCCTCATTATTTTTGTATTTTTTTTGTATCTCCTACTGCCGATTTCCCAGTTTTGTTTACCTGCCGCTAATCCTATGTAGTTTAGCAGTTCCTACAAACAGAAGAAGACTTCTACAGAAACCTGATAATTTTGAACCCACTTTATGTTTCTGTTTGCTTTGAGTTGAGGCTGATACTAAACCAAACAAGGTTTTGCTTCTGAAGAGCACGGTACTGGCTATGTTGAGTCTTCTTCCCATTGGCCAAGTGTTTTCATTCATCCAGCACTTTGTATGTGTTGATGGATCTGTGATTTTCCTGTCATTCAGTGTTCTTGTCCAGTTAGGCAGAAGTGCTGTGCTACAGAAGAAGATTACATGCTTGACTTTTGCTGAAGTAATTAACATACAACTGGACTGCCTTCTCCAGTTTAGTTTATGTATGCTAAGATAGCTTTGTAACACATACTGACCAAAACAAGGGGATGCAGGATGGCAGTGCAGCTTCCTGGAGTAATTTCTGGAATGCTGTTGCTTGGGTCTCACAGTGACAGTGTTTGAAGTCCTTGTCTTTGTATTAGGATATTCAGCATAGGAGAAAAGAAAAAAGGACATACACAGGTATTTGACTTTGGAAAGTTGTCATGCTTGCTGAGTGGTTTCTGTTTAGCACTATTTTGTGTTATCATCTTTATGCTACTGAAGTTAAAAGAAAAATGCTTAGAAAATCAGTGAGAAAGGAGGAGTGTCTTTGACTTTCACCTGCCAAGTTTCTTCTGTGAGCTTGCATGTGTGCGAGGCTCGGATGCTGTACCAGTCAGTAGGCTTATTAGGCTTATTTCAACATTGCTCAACAGAGCCGAGACCTTGAATACGCAATTAAGGATGGACACATCTCTAACTTGAGTAGCGGAACAAGCTGTAGTAAGGTATCACATCAAAGTCTGACCCACTAGAAATGGTAGATGATACAAAAACACTCACTTAATTTTAAAGTACCTGCTCTTTAGGTCTGCTGAAGTGATTAGTCACCTTTTTGGTTTCTGTTTAACTGATTGCTGACACAGCGTATTTTTTTGTTCAAGGTTTTTCATATCAAAGTAAATTACAAGATACAGGATGGATTTGTTTTGTGAACATCCCTTTTACAGTCAAAACTTCACATGCTGCTGGAGTATGTCTGTTTTCACCAGAACTATGAATATGCTAGAAAGGAGCTCTTCTTAAAACTTGTAATTGAGTCAAGTCTGGAAATTAATAATGCCAGCCGAGTGCTACAAGTGCATACGATAATTACTTGTATGCTTGCTAAAAGTTGTGGAGTGGCTGGAAGCAAATAGGCATGTTGTGAGCGATCCAGACCGAGGGGTCTCACAACCACAGCTGTTGTGAAGGACATATGCAAGGTCGAAGGAGATAAGGAAATTGGGGTTTTGAGAAACTGCCTATGTTGCAAAGAGGTAAGGAGGTTGGAATGTAAAAAAGAAGATAACAAGATGCATAAACAGAATGTAGGTACGGCAGAGCAAGGCGTGTGAACGAGCAGCTTTAAGCTATTAGCAACCAAACGTAACGCGTGCGCTTTGTGCTAGTGTATAAATTGCTGTGTATCCTTTAATAAAGTGGCATTAACTTGATCACAATGATCGTGCATGTTGTGTCTGAGACTTCCGCGTCACCACGCTGCACTAAGCAATCCCTGTCTGTCTTCTTCCTTTCCCTGGGAACACACAAACACTAATCAGAGCCAGAACAGCGCTTTTAGGCTCACGGCGAGAACTTCTCACAGAAAGCGCTCGCACGTACGATCGTCGCTGTACAGCAGCCTCCCCTCCAAACTACCACGGTACGCTAAGCCATCCAGCTCTCTCTGCTTCCTTTGCCTAGGAACACACAAACAGTACGCAGAGGCTGTACAAGCTCTTTTAGGTTCCTGGCGAACTTAAACTGCTTTGTGCTTATATTGTCTGTAAATGTGGCTCGAGTGATGCCCAGCAACTTGGGTGAATCGTATTGTTTATTATTTACCTATTTTAGGAGGGTGGGGTATTAATCCCATATGACTTTCTGCTTTTTTACATTGGTTTATACTTGGCTTTCACTAGTGTGACATTCATCTGTAACCCTGTGGTCAGTCTGCTGTGAAAATAATCCTAACGTATTGTATATTCTGTATCCTGTAGGCAAAGATGAAGGAATTGTTTGAAGCATGGTGAAAACTGTCTGATTCTCAACAGCAGGTATGTCAGTGGGTTTTGGTGAGGCTCTGATCTAATTGGAAAATTACAAACTGGAGTCAAAATTAATAAATTCATAGGAAATCTTGAACTCGGTTGCTCAAAATATAATACTGAGGACAATACTCTGAGATCTTATTTGTACGCCTTGAAAAAGATTGTCATTTTTATTCCAGTAGTGACCATTTCTTTCACAGTGTTGATGAAATGTGAGTCAGTGGGATGGGATGGAAGTTCTGTATGCCTGGAAATGGATGCTGAGCGGCATCTAGGGAGGAAGGTGGAATAATCTGCAACAGTTTGGGTTTTTTCTAATAATACTTATTTTTAAATGCCAGCATAGTAATTTGCTGCTCATGGAAAGACTTTGGACAGGTAAAAGCAACAGAAATCTACAGGTAATGTGCACGCAGTAATTTATTAATTTTGGTTGTCTTGAGGATACTTTTTTGCCAGCTTTCTCAGTGTATTGAAATACGAGCCTGCAGATGGGGGTATTGAAAATTGGAGGGGTGCTATACTGAAATCTAATCTAAACCTCCCAATTTTCAAGTATTCTGTACCTTACCGTCCTTCCTCCTGAATGCCCTTCTTCCAGATTGTTTTGAATGCGTTCTTAGAACATGCACTATGTTCATGTTTTTTTCTGTAGAAAAAGAATTTGAAATAGTTCTGCAGAAATATCTGTTCCTGTTTCTTACATAAGCCATCTCTCTCAGACTAGTACTCCCATAAAAAGCCTTAGCTGTTAGTAGTCGTACTGAATAAACTTCCTCTTCAGGGATGTCAATCTGTTGACATAACCACAGTTCAATACTAAGGTTTTGTATTTTTATGTTGGATGTTTTTTGAATTTTCTGAAGGTGAAAGTGGACGCCTGGGATGTGCACTACACAGGTCTTGTAGTAAGTCACCTCTGTATCAAAGAGGAGGATGTGACATGGCAGTTATGCTGACAAAGCCCCTTCTGTAACTGTTGATACCTTATTTTCTCCCAGCCATACGTGCAGCTTGCTGAAGATGATAAGGTTCGGTACGAGAATGAAATGCAGTTGTGGGAAGCAAAAATAGTCAAGCTTGGATGCGAAGACCTGATACGTTCCAGAAAGCAAAATCCAGAAAAGAAAACTGCTGAAACCTGTAAACAAAGCTGAAAGAGCCAAAGCTTCTTCATATGAAAACGAGGCGAAGTTAAAGTTGAAAAAATCGGAAGAATGAAATGGTTAAGTATTTTATATTTGATGCCCTTTGGTTGTCATGTCTTTGTCCTGCTGTGTTAATGCTGCAGTCTGCATTAGCACCAAAATTTGGAGAACCCATAAAGGGCCCACTGGAGAAGCAGAAAAGATGATCATGTAAGAGAGTGTTATAAATTGAGACTACAATGGGTTGTAATCCAATTAAAATTTTATTAATTATAGCAAGTAGAATATGAGCAAAACCAGCGCTGGACGACAGGGGAGTCTGTGCTCCACCAACTGCCGTACTGAGTAGAACAGACTGTCCCTTTTTATGCATCCTGACTCCCGCGTTCATAGAGTGGTGGAGATACTATATTTCAACTGTTGCTAGGGGTCTAGAGTGGTGGAGATACTCTGCGCATGTTCCAACTGTTGCTAGGGGGTCGTTTTCTGCCTCCTGGTGGTCGATGATATCCTTATATGGAGTTGTTTTTCTTCTGTTTGTTTTCTTGGAATATCTTGTGATTTGCAGCGTCAGCCATGTGTGCACAAGCAACACATGATTCCATGAGCGATCTCCCCTTCTCTTGTTATCCGACCTTTAAGTCTTAATAAACAATATACTTAGCTCATAGTTTCTCACAATCCCCCCTTTTTCTTTTTATCCTACTATTGTTTATTAGACGCTACTTTCATTCTTAGCACTGCAAGCAAGCCTTCTTCCACAATTCCAGCATTTATCACAACATTCACAGGGTAATATCTCACAATTACAATCATAATTCTTACGTGGTATAACGCATTCACAACAATCTTCATCATCTATGTCTTCATTAATAGATACACTTTTATATTTTACCTCAGACCTTAAAATAAGTAATTTAGCTATGTCGAACCGTTCTCTAATAAAGTGTAAAATATAGCGTATTATACAAGGTCCAAATATATGTCCCAGAATCAATATAATAAGCGGTCCTGCTAAAGCAGATAACAAAGTAGTTAGCCAAGGTGAAACATTAAACCAGTTTTCATACCACGATCTGCCCGTCTCACGATCTTTTTTACGTTGATCTAACCTTTTCCGGAGTTCAGACATGGTGTCCTGGACTATTCCCGTATGGTCAGCAAAAGAACAGCATTCTTCATTTAGAGCTACACATAACCCTCCTTCCTTTAAGAACAATAGGTCTAATCCTCTTCTATTTTGCAGCACTACCTCTGATAAAGACTTTACTGAAGTGGCTAAATTTTGTATAGATCGTTCTATTTTTGCTAACTCCTCATCTACAGCCATCTGTAAACTTTGTAATTCCTGACCTTTTACTAGGGAGGCTATGCCTGTACCTGCTCCAACTCCGCCCGCTATCAGCAGAGTAGCTAGGGTTACCACTGTAATTGGCTCTCGTTTTTGTCTATTCAGATCTCCTTCAAAGTGGCGTAACACCTCCTCAGAGGTGTGATAGATCAGACGAGGAACAATAATCACCTGTATGCAAAACTGAGATTGACTAAACACGTTTAAGGATAGGCAAGGCGTTACTCCGATGTCTGAACAAACCCACTTAGCTCCTGGTGTCGGGATAGCCCATTTGTCATTTTGATCCTTGTGTCTTTTTATATTGGTGTTAGTGATTGTTTGGTTGCACAAGGGCTGATACCTTTTGGGAACTGTACCTATACATTTTCCTTGACCTGTTACTAATTGAATAGTAATTCCTTGTGTATGGTTCCTCTGGTCATCCCATTGGCATTCTTGTGGGTTTGAACCACTAGACCATTGAATCCTATCTGGTATTCCGATTGCCTCAAAATATGGTGGTCTAATACTGTAACATAACCAGCATTCCTTAGTTAAATTTGGTTTACTTTCATTAAGGGTACGATAAGAGGCTCGCATTAAATCCCATAAGGGGTCTTTAGATTCTGACACTCCTGAATCCCTAACTAAAGAGTACTCAGTCACCATGTCTTTAGTTGTTCTATCTGTTACTGATAAAATGTTTGGACGAATGGTTGTGACACTTGTGGGAACCATCCTTTTCTTAGGAAAAATGGGTGAATTTAGGACTGAGTTTGGTCCTACTGGTAAGGGATCGTGAGGCATCGGTCTTTTCATTATTTGAAAGATTCCTCCTCTGTCTCCACCCGGTTCCCAATATCTAATTCCCCAATATTTTCCTGCTAACCATTGATCGTTGTCTGGGGTTTTAATTGTTATGTTAATACTTTTACAATATCCGTCATTGTTACAGTGTCCGAATACACGTCCATCGCTTCCTATGTGAGGTCTCTTACACTTTTCTGGTGACCACTTTATTTCTAGATATTCGTCTCCAGATGTGGACCACTCAGAGGCCCATGTTTCGCATCCCCAATAGCCACAGTAATAGTGACCTGGAAGGTTACAATAACTTCTTCCAGGATTGGACGCGGGACATATGTAGATTGGTTTGCACAGATCAGCTTTGTCTTTACGGTGTCCAGTAATTAGATCGCGCAAACTCACATTAAAACTAAATGTACCCGGTGTAGCCCGTGCTTGAATTGGATTATTTGGATGTTGTATGTTTGTTATTGTCCAATTCATAGGTTCATGAGGGTTTCCTCCTTTTGCCTGGGCTATTATCAGTAACAAGACTAACGGTATACCAGGAAAAAGGGTGTTTGTCACTTTTGCCAATTTAAGTATATTTTTACCAGTCCTGGGGAAGTTAGACCATTGCTGCTTTTGCGTCCCATTGTTCTGATTCTCTTCTCCACGGTTTGTTCCTCCTCTGCCTCGCCCGTCGACTCGGTTGCTTCGAGTCACGGGGTGTACCATCTTCTCAGCAGCAAGGGAATTCTTCAGGAGAACAGCTGTTTCGGGCTTTCTGCCTGTTTATATAGGCTTCCCACTTTGCAGCTTTAACTAATGGGACAAAGCAAGACACAGTACTTCCCTTCTGCACTTTATAGCCAAGATTTCAGCTACAAAGTGGATCGGTTTGTCAGATTGGTACCGATAATATTGAGGGTTTATTTCTTTGGCAAAACTTTCCCACCACTCATGGGATTCCCCAAATAATTTCTTGTCTCATTTCTCACATTATGTCCACCATTTATCCTGGTATGCCTTGCACCTAAAACAAGCAAATGGGTAACAGTTACAGTTTAAATGATTACACCTAACTCATATATTTAAAATGCATACATTACTTATATCAGTATATTTTCTATATTTTAACAATTTTCTCTACCCCACTTTGTGCATTTCCATGAACAAGGAAATTATTATTGCAAGTAAAAACAGCAATATACACTTTATACCAAGAGGCAATGTGGCAAAATGCTCAAAGTCTCTATCATTATCTCTTCAGGGTTATCTTGGTATCACCTGGAGTACTAATTACTTTCCATTGAGGTTTCGTCACGGGGCCTTTAATGCGACTGGCATGAGTCCATCCACGCTCAGCAGTCCGGACAGCTGTTTCTGTTGTTAGTAAAACAAGATAAGGTCCCTCCCAATTGGGTTTTAGGGTTTCTTCCTTCCATACTTTAACCAATATCCAATCCCCAGGTTTAACATTGTGAATTTTTAAGTCCAACGGGGGTCGTTGCACAATCAGTCTGTGTTCCCAAAGCTTATTACGATGTTCTGCTAATTGTGAAACATATTCATTAATCACATGGTCTCGAATTAAAACATTTGTTTGTGGATTTTCAATTCTATAGGACATTCCATACACCATTTCAAACGCTGATATTCCCACATCCGCTCGGGGTCTGGTTCTGAGAATTAATAGTGCCATGGGTATGCACTTAATCCATGACAATTTGGTTTCTATCATTAATTTAGTCAGAATAGTTTTGATTTCTCCATTCATCCTTTCAACTTTTCCCGAACTTTGTGGATGCCATGGTGTATAGTATTCCCACTTAATACCCAAGCTTTCGGTTAGATCTCTAACAATTTTTGACACAAAGTGTGTTCCTCTGTCCGAGTCGATTACTTCAGGCACTCCATATCGAGGTATAATGTGTTCAAGTAACACTTTAGTAACTTGGTTAGCAGTTGCCCTGGAGGTAGGAAAAGCCTCAACATAATGTGTTAAATGATCCACCATTACTAATAAATATTTATAACGCCCTACCCTAGGTAGTTCAGTAAAATCCACTTGTATGTGTGAGAAAGGTCTGTATGCTGGGGAACGTCCTCCAAGAGGTTTTTGTCTCATGTTGTTTCGATTAACCTTTTGACAGGTCTCGCAGGCTGCCGTGACTGTCTTTGCTATGTTATATACGCCTATACAGGCAAACTGTTGATTGAAATGATCAACTAATGCCTGGGTTCCCCAGTGTGTTTTGCTGTGTATTTTTGAAAATATTTCGAGTGCTATGCCTTTTGGCAAGACTTCCCTCCCATCTGGCAATATGTATTTACCCTCTTGTTCCTTAGCTCCCATTTGTTCTAGTTTTTCCTTTTCTGCAGACTCAAAGCTCAAATTTTTACTAACAGATACTTGTTGTATCGTCAAAATCGTATTATAATTGCCTGCCACTCATTTTGCTTCTGTATCAGCTGCATTATTTCCCCTAACTTGATAACTTGTACCTCGCTGGTGTCCCTTTATATGTACAACTGCTATTTTATTCAGCATTTTCAATGCCCCCAGAACTCGCCGAATTAATTCCGGGTGTATCAGTTCTTTTCCCTGCGAGTTAACAAATCCTCTTTCCTCCCATATTTTCCCAAAAGTGTGTACTACCCCGAACGCATAGCGTGAGTCTGTATATATAGTTCCATCCTTTCCCTTCAGTGATACTAATGCTTTCCACAATGCATACAGCTCACAGGCTTGAGCAGACCAGCTGGCACTCAGGGGGCCTGATTCTATTGTCTTAAATTCTCCTTTTTCCAACTTAACAACGGCATATCCGGACAATCGTTTACCTTCTACTATTCGTGATGATCCTTCTATAAATAATACTTCCCCACATTGTAGTTCTTCTTCTTCTAGGTCTGGCCTAATACGTGTCTGCTGTTCAATTGTTTGGAAACAATTGTGCAATAGTTCATTACCTTCTCCTGGGTACAAAAATTCAGCGGGATTAACTGCTCCAATAGTTTTCAAAGTTAATTTAGGGGGTTCTATAAGTATTCCTTCATATTTCAATAATCGACTATCTGTAAGCCATTTTTCTGCTTTTTGTTGTAACACTCCTCTTATATTATGAGGCGCATATAGGACAATTTCCCCATTAAAGGTAATACGGTTTGTTTCTTCCAGTAATAAGGCAGCGGCAACTATGATCTGTAAACAACTTGGCCAACCCCTGCTCACAGGGTCCAACAGCTTTGATAGGTATGCTAGCGGTTTCTTTTGTCCGGCCCATTCCTGAGTTAATACTCCGAATGCCGTTCCTTCATGTATGTTAACAAATAAATGGAATGGCCGCTTTAAATCTGGCAGACTTAAAACCGGTGCTTGACTTAGCTCCCTTTTGAGACTGGCAAACTGCTCTTGATCCTGAGGGGTCCACTTGGGTATTTTGTCTTTAGACAATTGTTCATATAGGAATTTAGCCTTAAAACTGTAGTTCTCTATCCATTGTCTACAATATCCAAATAGCCCTAATGCCTGCCGAATTTGCCTCTTAGTGACAGGCATAGGTAGTTCCAGAATTCCTTTAATGCGCTCTGGATCCAGTATCTTTTTGCCGTTAAACAAATAATGCCCCAAATATTTCACTTTTTCCTCCACAAATTGTAACTTTTCTTGTGATACCCTTAGTCCCTTTTGTGCAAGGAAGTTTAGGAGTCGAATGCTTTCTTTTCTTACATTCTCCTGATTATTCCCTGCTATAAGCAGATCATCTACATATTGTAAAAGCACATTTCCCGTTTGTACCTGGTATTCCTTCAATAGCTCTTCCAGGGCCTGGCCAAACAGATTAGGGGACTCAGTGAACCCTTGGGGGAGCACGGTCCGTCTCAATTGTTGTCTACGGCCTGTTTCTATATCTTCCCATTCAAAGGCAAAATAATCACGGCATTCTTCTGCCAGTGGACAGGCCCAAAAGGCATCCTTTAAATCAACCACGCTATACCAGGAATTATGGGGTCCTAGTTTGCTTAGCAGTGTGTATGGATTTGCCACTACAGGGAACTGGGTGATAGTTCTTTTGTTTATTTCCCTTAAATCATGCACGAGCCGATATTTCCCATTCGGTTTCTTTACAGGCAGAATGGGGGTGTTAAAGGGTGACATACAAGGCTCTAAGATTCCTCGTGCTAATAATCGATCAATTTCTGGTTTCAATCCTCTCCGTCCTTCTAGGGATATGGGATATTGCTTTATCCTCACAGGTATGTGGGGTTCAGAAATTTGGATTTTAATCGGTGGGATTTCCAGTCTACTAATTGTGTCCGGAGAATACCAGACATTGGGGTCAATTTGGTTTTGATCATCCATGGTCAAAGTATAAGCAAACACTGTTAGTTCTTGATTTTTTACTTTAATTTCTAATTGCAATTCAACAATTAAATCTCGCCCTAGCAGATTAAATTCTGCTTCAGGGACGAGCAAGAGTTCACCCATTCCAAATTTATTTTCAGTTTCGAATATTACATTTTTGATTTTGCTTACTTTAAAGGGTTCTCCTTTTGCCCCAATTACTTGTACTTTTCAGGGGAGATTTTACATCCCTCGGGTATTTGTCTAATAGTCGATTTTTCAGCCCCAGTATCTACTAAAAAGGTGAACTCTTGTTTATGGGGACCTATTTTTAATTTTATCAAGGGCTCACGATGACTCCGGTCCCCTAAAATATAGAGCCCCTGACTTCCCTATTCCGTTTTTAATATTTCCTCATCCCTGATCCTTTCTCTGCAACTCCTTTTTATATGTCCCTTCTTTCCACAGTAAAAACAAAATCTCTGATCCTTCTTTACTACTACATTCCCCTGTTTCGTTTCGGCAGATCTGTGTTCATTTGTCCGCCCTTTACGATCTTCTCTGACCGCTGCTACCATCATTTTTATTTGTCGCTTGCTGCTCTCTTCTTCTCTCCTTACATATACTTTCTGAGCTTCCCTCAATAATTCATCTAACCCTCTATTCTGCCAGTCTTCTAACTTTTCAATCTTCTTTCTGATATCCTCCCACGATTTTGCCACAGAGTTTTGAGGAGCGCTTGCCCTAAAGGGTCGTCTGGATTTACCCCGGAGTACAGCTGAAGGGCTTTCCTCAGTCGTTCCAGCCACTCAGTAGGGCTTTCATCTTTCTTTTGCATTTTATTAAATGCTTTATTGATATTCTGGCCACGGGGTACTGCTTCTCTAATCCCTTGAATTACTATAGTTCTTAGGTCCTGCATATGAGTTCTATGCACCGGATCCTGATTATCCCAATTAGGTCTTTGGAGTGGCCATTTAACATCTGCTTGAGGTCCCTGAGCATGTTGAGCATCCCACAATCTCATTCCTGCTCGTCTAATCATGTCTCTTTCCTCGGTAGTAAATAATTGACCAAGGATAGATTGCATTTCATCCCAAGTATAAAGGTTTGGTCCCAAAAATTGATCTAATCTTTCCGCCACTCCGAGTGGGTCCTCAATTAGGTTTCCCATCTCGGTTCTTTTAAAATCTCGTAGGTCTACTGAGCTTAGGGGTACAGAAATATATCCAATCACAGGTTGAGGTCCCCCCATGGGCATTTCCCTTAAAGGATACATCTGAGCTGCCCCTTTTTGACTTCTAGTCACGCGTCTAGGAGGAGGGGGAGACCCTTGTTCTGATTCTGGTGGGGGAGTGGGCGCTCTGGGGACCTCTGGAGGGACTGCGGGAGCAGGCGGGGGAGTGTAAGGAGGGGGAATTAGAAGAGTTTTATCTAACTCTTCCTTCTTTTTCTTTTGTTCAGTTTTTATTTCATTCAGCGGGTAAAGTCTAGCTCTCGGTTTCTCGAGCCACACTTCCGCATATTGACTCTCTTCCGGGTTAAGGGATTTTTTACTATTAACCCAGAGGTTTAATTGCTGTCTTACCCAATCTTCTTCTGACCCATAGACTGGCCAAAAGACATGTTTAGAAATCTTCTTCCCTCCCCATATCTTACTACAGTATTCTATCGTCTTCTGCTTATCTTTCCCTAGGGTTCCAGGGAAGTATTCCCAGTTGTCTAAGATGTATGCCAGAGGGGTATTCTTAGGTACAGTGGGTACCCTTCCCATGGGAGTCGAAGGCTTGCTGCCCTTCGCCCCCATCTTCTGAATTATCTCCAAACACACACTCACTCGCTCCCCTTGTTCCTGGCCCAGTCCCTCGCAGGAAATGGGAAACGCAGTACTTAAGGGTCCGCACTTGCTTGGTTCAGTATATCGAACCTCTCATTCGCTATAATTCAGGAAACCCAATCCCGCCCGAACGGTAAACCCGCGAATAAATCCGCAATATACCTACGCATCCCGCGTCTTCGTCCGGACTCCTGTGCACAGAATTTTTATGGGATTTTACCGGTTTTTCCTTTGCTCATTATTCTAGAATTTAGGTTCGTCGGTAAGGATGGGGTGGGCTATCAGTCGCGGGGCCGCGGATTGCCGTGGGGCGCCTCCCCGGAGGACAGATATCCACCGTTCCTTATCCGAGTTACGGCACCAGAAATTGTTATAAATTGAGACTACAATGGGTGGTAATCCAATTAAAATTTTATTAATTATAGCAAGTAGAATATGAGCAAAAACAGCGCTGGACGACAGGGGAGTCTGTGCTCCACCAACTGCCGTACTGAGTAGAACAGACTGTCCCTTTTTATGCATCCTGACTCCCGCGTTCATAGAGTGGTGGAGATACTATATTTCAACTGTTGCTAGGGGTCTAGAGTGGTGGAGATACTCTGCGCATGTTCCAACTGTTGCTAGGGGGTCGTTTTCTGCCTCCTGGTGGTCGATGATATCCTTATATGGAGTTGTTTTTCTTCTGTTTGTTTTCTTGGAATATCTTGTGATTTGCAGCGTCAGCCATGTGTGCACAAGCAACACATGATTCCATGAGCGATCTCCCCTTCTCTTGTTATCCGACCTTTAAGTCTTAATAAACAATATACTTAGCTCATAGTTTCTCACAAGAGGATGCGGTATCTCTCAGAACTGACTGAAATAATCATTGCAGGTGTAGCCTCAACTGTACAACAGTAACTGGTTAATCAAGCTGTGAATAGTGATACTCACGGACATCAGCAGAGCTCTCCAGTAATGGTAGATAACGGCTAGCTTTTATAAGATACTTTTTATGAAAGCAAGAATATTCTGCAATGTTACCATCTAAATGCTGTAAATAAGAGCTGAAATCTGAGTTAATGCTGCTGTGTTTTATTCCCTCCATGGTATTGGTAGCGAAATGTTCTACATTTCAACAAAAGGCACAGGAAGGTAAAATACTAACTTTTATTTCACGCATCTTTTTGTACGAATCATTAAGTGTATACCACCTGATGTTGCATTTCATTAAAGACCATATGAGTTTTGTGTAAACGTATCTTTACAGGACTTTTATTCCATGGCTTTGTTTGGATACATGCAAACACTTTTGCCTTCCTGTTGTCACATTTGGGACAGCCTGGAAGGAAGAGACTATGTGTGAACTGTTAG